AGATGAGCACAGAGCCAGGCCCCATAGAAGCTGAAATTGATCAGAGTGAAACTGCACCACTTGAGATGGAGGACACAACCTTCCACACCAGGTCTTCCATCAGCAGTTTAAAGGGCTTTCAAGATGTTGAACTTTCAGAGAGAGATGTTTCAAAGGATGACATTGCTCTGACCCTGAAGGTGCTAAAGAAAATTCATGACACAAGAGGCAAGAAAGCTACAGCTCAGAAACTCATAAAGAAGCACAAGAAAAGAAAAGAAAAAGTTTTAGTTGAGGAAGTTTTGCCAACTATAAAAGAAGAACCAGTTAGGAAAATAATTAAAGCTCAGGGGCAGGGTGCTGCAGGAATGCCTGGCCAAAGGGCTGGAGATGGTGCCTCATGGTGGGAATCTCTATGTCATCTTATGACCCTGAGGCTATCCAGATCTCAAACAAAAATGTCAGAAGATCTAAACACTGAGTTAGTTACTGTGGCTCAGGAGATTCAGGCAGATCGGCACCCCAGCTGGGAACTCTTTCAGGAGATCTGCCCCCTGTTGAAGAAAGAAAGCAAGGATAAGCTTGAAGACCTTGCCTGGGATGTAGTGTGGCCAGAGGAGAAACCAACTTTTGTCTGTGAAGAAGCAATTAGAGAGGACATGGTTATCAGAGATAAGAAAGAGAATAAAGAGATACCAGAGGAGCAAAAAGAGCAAGTGCAAAAGGAAGAAAGGGACATGCAGGGCTTGCAGGAAGTAATTCCAAAAAAAGGCAAGAAAAAGAAAGTTATTTTTTTAGAACTGGGTGATCTAACTAAGAGAAAACAAAAGTCAAAGAAGGAAGAAAAGAAATCCTCTAAGAAGATATCTAGAGAAGAGAGGAAAACAATACAGGAAGAAAGTAAAGTAGGTGAAAAAGAGGAGAATGACCAAAGAAGAGGAAGATTCAGCAAGAAAGTAGAGGAAATGACAAAAGCAGAGGAGGAAGTGACTGAACGAAAAGAAAAACCAATTATTGCTGAAATAATGCTGTCTTGGCAAGAGTGGAAGAACTCATGGAATCAGTGCAAGCAGGCACACAATGAAACAAGAATATCCTGGGAAGAATGGAAGCAAGACTGGGACAGAAGGTGTCTTCAAGAAGAGAAGAAAATACCCCAGGCTAAAGAGAAGCTATTCCCAGAGGAGGAAATGCCAAAGGGGGAAAAAGGAAGCTTAGATGGGATGAGTGGAGACAGCTCTAGGAAAAAATATTGTCATCCAGATCCAAGGATGAGAAAGAATTCACTCTAGAGAAAGAACTATTTAAAGAGTGGGAGGAAATATCTAAGGAAATGGAAGAGGAAGGAGGAGGAGAAGAAGAAGAAAAAGAAGAGCTTGTCACAGAAGAGCAAAGACAGATCCAGGAAGAGCATATAAAGGTCAGGAGTCAGAGAAAACAAGCCCAACATAAAAGACAACAAGCCAAAGAAGAGAAAAGACTAGCACAAGAAGAGGAACTTGCACAAGAAGAGAGAAGGTTGGCCCAGAAAGAGGGAAAACTGGCCCAAGAATATATGAAAATCTCCCTGAAAGACAGGAAAATGGCCTAGGAAGAGAGTAAGTTTGCCCAGAAAGAGGAAAAACTGGCACAGAGAGAGGAGGTGCTAAGCCACAAAGCGGAGCAATTGGCCCACTAAAGGAAGAAACTGGCCAAGAAATTGGAGAAGACTGCCCAAGAAGAAGAGAAACTAGCAAAGAAAGTAGAGAAAGCTATTGAGGCAAAAATACTATTGGCCCAGAAAGGGGAAACACTGAAGCAGAAGGAGCAAAGTCTGGAATGGCAAGAAAATGAGTTTGCCGAGAAACTTGAGGAACTGGCAAGGAATATGGAAGACCTGGCTTCAAAAGAAGTTGAGCTGAACCAGGAAGAAGAGAGATTGGTTAAGGAAAAGGAGGAAGTGGCTCAGGAAGAGAAGATACTGGCTTGGCGAGAGGAGACTCTGGCTAAGAAAGAGAAAGCACTGGCCCAGGAAGAAGAGATGCTAGTGCAAGAAGAAGAGAAACTGACCCAGGACAAGGAAAAAAACCCAGGGAAGCAAGAAGATTGGCTCAGAAAAGGCAGAAAATGATAGAGGAAAAAGAGAAACTGGCCCAGGAAAGGGAAAAACTGGTCCAGAACAAGAAAGAATTCACACAGAGAAAGGAGAGACTAGCCCAAGAGGAAGAGAAACTGGCTCAAAAAAGGAAGAATTTGGTTCAGGAAAAGGAAAAATTGGCTCAGAGGAAAGAAGATCTCCACCGTGTCAAAGAAGACCCCCTCCAGGAGAGAGAACAATTAGCTCAAGTAAAGAAGAAAATAGGGATGTACAAGGAGACACTGGCTTAGGTAGAGGAGAAGCTGAAACAGGAAAAGGAGGTAGTGGTCAAGAAGAAGGAGAAGCTGGATGCTGTAGAGAAGAAACTGGTTCAAGCAGGTGGAATTCTGGCTAAAAATCAGGAGAAAGTGGCCCAGAAAAAAATGGAATTAGCTGTAGAGAAGAAGGCAGTGTTCCAAGGAAGGAAAATGCTCATAGATGAGCTGGATGTTGCTAAGGAAGAAAAGACATTGAACATGAAAAGGAAGATGATGGTACTTCAAAATCTAATCAGTGATGAAAGGAAAATAACCCAGGAAGAAATAAAGATGACAAAGATAAAGCGGCCACTCCTTGTCAAGGAGAATGAACTGAGCAAGGAACAGAGCAGACTTGATATCAAAGAGTTGAATTTTTCTGAGCAAGAATCAAAACTTGCCACAGATGAAAAGAAACTGGCTAAGAAGCAGAGAAAAATAGCCAAGAAACTGAGAAATATTACAAATCAAGAGAAAAAAATGGCTGAGGAAGAAAGTAGATTGGCCAAGGAACAGAGAGAAGTCATACAGGCTGTAGAAGAGGAAGAGGAAATCCCATCCCTTAAACGAAGGCAGAAAAAAAGAAAACAATCAAAAGAAATTGATACCCCAAAGGGAAAGTTTTACAGAAAAGTGGATGAGATGGAAAGTGAAGAGAGCATTTCTAAGGAAATAGAAAGCCTATTAGAAGAAGTAGGACAAGAAAGTTTGTCTGAAGAGGAGGAAGAAGAAGAGGAAGAGGAGGAAGAAGAGATGGAAGAGGTGGAGGAAGAGGTGGAGGAGGAAGAAGAGGAAGAGGAGGAGGAGGAAGAAGAGAAGTATGAGAAGAGAAAGGAGAAGGAAAAGAAGAGGAAGAAAAGGAAGGTGGAAGAAGAGGATGAAGGTTTCAAGGAAGAGAGAGAAAGCATGAGTGAGGAAGAGTTGGAAAATTTGAGAGAGACAGAAGAGAAGCTCAATAGAAGCGAGCCAAGAAAAAGACATTTTAAAAAGGGCAAAACTATTTAAGTTACAAGAAGAAAGAGAAAAGGACCTACAAAGAAGGGAAGTGGTCCCTTCTATTGAAGAAAGATTCCTTGGGGTCGAAAGCAGGGATATAAAATGGGGAGATCTAAAAAGCTCTTCCAGACCATTGATCTTAGTACCTAAGGATATGGGACGAAAGACACAAATGCCACTGCCTACCAAACAAATATCCTTGGAAGGAAAACCCACAGCACTCCAGGCATGGAGGACATTCTTACAGATAAAGTTGACAGATAAAGAAAGAGAATTGTTGGAGAAATATAAACCCATGCCTCTACATGTGTTAAATACAAGTTTAGTGTCCCAAGAGCAGGACATGAAGACATTATTTATGTCTGACATATTTAGAACTGTAGAGGCTCACAAATTCCTACACAGACTCCCAGATCCCAGGTCTAAGTGGCTTTTGCAGCATCATCCAACTCTGGAAAATTGAAGGAAGGTACAACTACCTCTTCCCCAGATCCTTGCTGACAAACAACATCCAGAGGTAGAGGTAAGCCTCTCAGATTTAGAGTGGATCCACCAGGTCCTAGAAAGGATGGAAGCAGGAGAACAGCTTTCCAGAGATAGCTTCCACAGACTGTGTCAGCTCCTCAAAGACCTGACCTCAGAGGGAAACTTAGAGTGGCTATGCCCAGCAATGCTTGAAACCATTGTGCACCATCACATGCAAGCTCTGGAATCACAAAGCACAAGGGCCTCAAAGCCCAGTGAGGAGTCCATGCGTCTAAAACACCTGAAAGTGATTCCTCCTATAAAAGGAAAGGAAAAGGAAAGTTGGCTAAAACCTTTGACTGCCCCCACACCAAAGTTCCCATTACCTTCCAAGAGGATTACAGACCCAAATGCTACAAATTGGCATCTTTTAGGTGAGCCTTTCAGGAGTACAGGGATACAGCAGTTATCCAATGGTCTAAAAGAAATGCAGATACATTTTTATCCCGTCACAAGAGACCTCTTCACAAGTGCCCGTGCCTCTGTGAACAAACAAACACTGGCACTAATGTTTCAGAATGACCTTAGGGCTTTTAAGGGTAAGGACAGATTTCCTAAATTGCCCAAGTTGGAGAAGAAGACACAGCCTATCTCACGAAAGAAGAGGTACCTCCATGGGAGACATTTGTGGCACTGTACCATGTTTTGCGGATGCTCCAGCAGCGATATGCCAAAGACATTGCTGCTTGGATGGAACAGTTCCATCAGCTCATGGACTTGTACCAAGTCAAGTCCCTCAGAATCCAGAGGCTGCTACAAGATCTGCTACTGAGAGAGGAGCCTCAACCCAAACAGATCTACAAAGAGGCCCTCAAGGCCATGGAGCTAGTGCCTGGGGAACGGCTACTCTATTGCTTGGTTTGTGGACATTCCCATGACCTTGCAGGTCCCCTCAAGTTCCAGAATGTGATACCCATCTCTGGGCAGAACAAGGTGCACACTGTCCAACCTGTGGGGATTGCACAGTATGGATTTTTAGAGCTTTCCTGGAAAAGCCTACCGCAAGTCAATCCTTTCCACATTGAGAGGCTACCCAACACCTCCATTCTCTGATTTGGCCTAATTTTAAGACTTTGAGATCCTGTTGGAAATCATGAGACTGGGCCACAGATTTTAAACATGCTCACTTGCTATCTACTTCAACGTGAGGTTAGACAAGGGCTTTCAATCAGCTCCATAAATGCTACTGTATACTGAATAAAATGAAATTTCTCATTTGTAACAAATATTTTTACTTCTTTTCCTCTATAAGCCTGGAATGTCCTGGAATGTGGCCACAGAAAATACTCTGTCTTATGGGAAACATTTTTTTTCAGTCAATGGAGTACATCTTTTGGAGAGCAGGGCCCAGTGATGATCATCTTTTGATAGAAAAGTTTGTCCTAGCAATCTTTTTTTCCCATTAGCTCCTATTTACTTTCCTCAGAAGATCTCATGCAATTGATCTTTTATTAACTTACCATTAATATGAGAGAAAGCCTATTAATTTTGCCCCTATACACATTTTTTTTTTTTGGTACTGGGGATCAAACTTAAGGACCTTGTGCTTGTGAGGCAGGTGGCGGCACCACTAAGCTAAATCCCCAGCCTGCCCCTATGCAAATTTTGATCTTTAGTTGGTTCCTAAACATCCCTAAGCCTCAGTGTTCTCATCTACATAAAGGAGATACAGAGTGAAATACAGTAGTGGTTACAAATACCAACTTTGAATCTGGGTGCAGTGATGCGTGCCTGTAATCTCAGCACTCTAGGTGGCTGAGGAAGGAGAAGTGCAAATTTGAGCTCATTATGGGCAAATTAGTGACTTAGTGAGATCCTGTCTAAAAATAAACGATAAAAAAGGATGTAGCTCAGTGCAAAGGCCCTGGGTTCAATCCCAAGTACCATAAAAACAAAAACTTTGAATTCAGACTTGTTAGTGCAATCCTTGCTCTGTAATTTACTAGTTCTTTAATCTTAATTTTTGGTTTCCACAAAGTAAAATGGTGGTAATAATGCCTAGCTTAGTGAAATGCCTAACATGGTTCCTGTGATATAGTTCTTTTTATTAGGTATCTATCTTAATGGGAAATGGCATGTGAATGAAAATATGGGATATAAAAATCGAACCAGAATTTGAATCCCTCTCCTGCAATTTGATTTACCTAAGCCTTAGTTTATCATGCACAAAACAGGGCTTATTGTGAGGCTCAAATAAGATTCTGAGTATGTCCATTTTAGTGTACTGGGAATGGCTGGCTGGAGCCCTGGAACCTCAAGAAAGTTTGTGGACACCCTAGGAGTAGGAAGGACAGTTCAAGGACAGGGCCAGCAAGAACAAAGAAAGAATTAGGCTAGAGCATGAAAAAGGGACTTAGAAGATTTGGGCATAAGGCAGAGTCCTGAGGGAGGTGTCGGATTCCAGGAAAAGGCTTGGGAACTCAGGAGATCAAAAGCCTAGGAGTACTGGCAATAAACCTTGGAGCAGGAGTCAGATCTCAGAAGAGGCATCTACAAGTCCAAAGGGAATACTTGGAGTTGACAATGTGGAAAAGCTTGAAAAAAAAAAAGAGTCCAGGAAACATGCCCAGAGCTTAGAGAAGGCATAAGAGCCCAACAGAAGCAGATTTGAAGTTGGAGGAGCCTATAGGCTGGGGATATAGCTCAGTGGTAGAGCATTTGTCTAGCACGTGTGAGGCCTTGGGTTTAATCCCCAGCACTGACAAAAAACAAACAAACAAAATGAATAAACCTCTGTTTGACCTAAGGTTTGGTGTGATTGGACCCAGACTGGTACATGATATATTTTTGCAAATCCATTTTATTTAGCCTTCTTTATTACTCTATTCTAGATCAATCTTTTTAGCAGATTGAGGTATAATTTACATGGGATAAAACTGATCCACTGTAAGTGTACCATTCAATGAGTTTTAGTAAATATAAACAGATGTGTAACCATTATCAAGATAAAATATTAGGACATTGCCATTACCTCAAAAAATGGTTCATGATCATTGGCAGCCACTGTTTCCATCCTCTGCCCAAGGCAATCATGAGTCTATTGTCTCTAGATTGGCTTATTCTGAACATTTAATACATATGGAATTCTACAGTATGTGGTCTTATGTGTCTGGTGTCATTCACTTAGAATAATGTTTGACATTTATCCATACTGTAGCTCTTACCAGTACTTTGTTCCTCTTTACTGCTGAATAGCATTCCATCATATGGGTTAGCACATTTATCCATTCACAAGTTGATGGGCACAAAGATTGTTTCCACTTTTTGGCTATTATGAATAATGCTGTTTAAACATTTATACATAAGTGATTGTGGGGACATGGCTTTCCATTTAATATTTCACTTTTAAAGAAACTACCAAGCTCCTTCCCAAAGTGGCTACATAATTTTCTATCTCCATCATTTATGTATTTTTCCACTTTTTTGAGTTGTTTGTGCAATCATCTTTTAAACCAGTTTAGACTATAAAATGCATATTTAGACTTTCACAATTATGTTTACTTGTGCTATTTGTTTTTATGTGATGTGAGCTTTGTCCAATGTCACTTGAGCCTGAAATCCTTAGTATATGTGCTGCCAAAGCGAGCACAAATCTTCCTTTTTTATTGTTGGAAATAAATTCTCTCAATCTGGGAATTTTATTTCATCTTCTTTTGAAAGTCATTTTTTTCGGGATATATAATTTTTGATTGACATTTTTGTTCCTTTAATACTTTGAGTATGTCATTCCATTGCTTTGTGGCCTGCATTGTTTCTTTTTTTTTTCCCCATTAACTTTATTGGTACATTTTGGTACATTTTAGGTATAAAATACAGTTACATTCATCATTGGGCTGGTGTACCATTACATGAGTCTCTTGGTTCTTATTTTTTTTCCCCCTTCCCTTGCCCTCCCTTCACCCCCTCCACCCTTCCCTATTTGCAAAGACCTT